GTTTTGTTTTTTATGCGCTCAGGTTTTTTATTTTATTTTAAGTTCGGGTATTATGGTTTTTATTTAGCCTTTTTTGGGGCTGAAAAATTAAGATTTTAGAAAAAAGAAGACATCAAATGGTAAGTTTACTTTTTCTTTACAGGTTAGTTATTTTATTCCCCCCTCACTATTTTTTAGGGTGAGGGGAGTATGTAGGGGGTAACCTTTTTTTGGGTGGGGGGATGGGTGACTAGGGGCTTGGGGACCCCTAGTCACCTTTGATGGGGGGGGATTTGTTTTAGGACCCCCACCCGCCACCCAGGTGTGGGGGCCATGGGGGGAGGACAGTAGGTCCCCCATTGTGATTTATGGCCACCTCCCACCGCATAGGGGTGGGGGCCAGTTGTGGGAGGACAGTAGGTCCACCCTCATAATCTTTATGGCCCCCACCCACAGCTCAGGGGTGGTGGCCGGGTGGAGGACAGTAGGCCCTCCCCCCTCATTATCTTTATGGCCCCCACCCACCGATCAAGGGTAGGGGCCGGGTAGAGGACAGTAGGTCCCCCATTGTAATTTATGTCCCCCACCCACCGTGCAGGGGTGGGGGCCAGGAGAGGGCAGTAGGTCATCCCTCCTCAATATCTTTATGGCTACAGGTTGCTCACTGTTTAGTAGACATGCCCCTACACGCGGTATAGCGAGTAGGGGCATTCGGGAGATTTCAATCTCCATTATGCTATTATGGGGGTCATATTGACCCCCATAGAGTGAGGGAGGACATGGGGGGCTTAGGAAGTGGCGGGGAGCATTGCTCCCTGACGCTTCTATAGTTACATATTACAAGGAGGGAGCTGCGTGAGGGTAAGTCCCTCCTTGTAATAAACGGCACGAACAAACGAACAGTGATATCCAGTGTTTGTTTGTTCGTCTGACAATGCCATTCATTCATTCGTCTTTCTGATGAATGAATGAATAGATGAAATTCCCGTTCGCATGCCCAGATGTTTCACTGACCATGTGCGGGAATCTCACAGCGCTATCTAGTGTGGGCAAATGACGTATCCCACAGGGACTTACTCTACCCACACAAAGATGGTGGCGCCCTGAATATAGATCGGGGAAGAAAATAAAGTTTAAAAATAGGTAATATGGGGTGTTTAGGGTCATTTGGGGGTGACTAGGGAGTCAGTTAGATGTAGTAGAGTCGGGAGGAGGGTTAAAAAAAAATGGGATTCGGCCATGACAGTGCCGCTTTAAACCAATAATGTATTAAATGCAACTAAATAATATATTTCATCAAAATCCATAGAGTCACTCCCTCATTTAGACAATTATTTTAAACAGCCCCAAAACAAATCTCTGTTTTCACATGTCATCACATTTTGCAAGTTTACATGTAATCCTTCCTTTATGAAAAGTATATTGTTTTAAAATGTACTTCAATATTTAAAAAAAATATTTGTAATAAGTACAAATAACTCTCTGGTGACCTGGTCATTAACAGGACTGTGCAAAGGTAAAGACAATACAGAATATAGAGATGTTTTAACTCCTGAAATTTATGAAATTTCATAAAACCTCACTTGTCTTATAGTCCAAGAATGATGACCAGTATATAGAGAAACATATTTATCTGCCAGGAACACATTAATTACTAAATATGCCTGCCAGACACCCTCCCCTTTCAAACAGTAAAGACAATTTGAAATTTGAAATGTCATACCTATTCGAAACTTGTGCATCGAGGGGTGGGGAGGGTGGGGGCATAAATTAGTTCTTCCATATGCCTGTTATGTCTGTTACTATTGCATTAGCATTATGGAGATTTCTATAACACTTTTGAAATACCTATATCTCAGACAAATATTATTTAAATGTACTTACTGTACTTACTGTATGTGGTCATTATGATCAAATTAAAAAAAAGGTGCAATTATCTACTTTTTCACATTATGACCTTGTGGGTTTGTGGAACACCTTAATTAGTCACATACATAGTGGACATGAGGGAGACATTTCTAGAAGGCACAGAGTATTCCTATTGGATAGCACATTAGCAGCAGATTAACATACCACTGATATTTAAACTGAACTCCTATTTAAAAAAAAAATGCTATTTTTGCAGCCTAGTGCTTAAGAACCTAGCTCTTTTAATGCAGCTGACTTTCATATTGCTGTGTGCGGTTCACCCTCTTGATGACTAGTGCTAGCTCAGGCTTTTTGGTTGATTTCCACAGGGTGGCTGTACAGTTTTTCGCTGCTTGTGTGATGTGGATGGTCAGTGCTGCTTCATATTTTGAGAGTGTTTTTGGTAGCATATGGAATAGATAGCTCTCCAGTAGGAGTGGCAGGGGCTTCCCTATGCTCTTTTTTTTTTACTAGCAGTTGGATTTGTCACCAAAGGGTTCCAGGCTTTGCCAGAAAAAATGGCTCAGGGTGCCTATGTGTTTTCAGCAATGCCAGCAAGTTTGCTGTGCACCTGGATATATATGGGCTAATCTCTGAGGGGTGAGGTGCCATCTCATCCATAATTTAAAAGCTGCCTCTATGTGGTCTAAATAGTGTGTGTTTTTTTTCACCTGCATCATTGATGCTAGCCACTGCCTGGCTCAATATCACATTCAAGCTCCCCCTCCCACTGCACCATGTATCTCAGTTTGTCAGGTCTGTCTATCTCCAATAATTGTCGGTGGCATAGGAAAAGTGGTTTAATAAGAGTCGGGCGACCTAGACACAATTTATAAAATGCACATAGTGTTTGAGTGTCTCCTGTGCTCAATTTGGTACTCCTCAGGATATGTTCTATCAGGTGGGTCTCTTTAGTAACCCCCCTTTCTCTCCACCGGTCCAGTTCCAGGTCAGGAGTTCGGTATTATAAACTAGTCAGAGAGGTGTACTCTTTCATAGGTTTAGTCAGCATTTTGGGGGCCCATCTTAACCAGGAGTGAAGAGACACCTTTGTGGACATCAGGAGGTTTATTTTCCGAGGCTGAAAGCGGATGGGGACCCATCAGGTCTGTCAGCGAGTGTGGCGTGCTAGTTGCATTGTCGACAAAAGCCTTGCCGTGTGAGCCAGGTTAGTTGCCTCTTCTTCCCATACCCAAACTAATGCTTGTGAGAGAGACCCTTGGTGGCTTCTTTTTCCATATATGTGCGTTCAACATATGTATTGTTTTAGGGATTCGATTTCTAAGGCTCTAAATAGAAAGAGTAACTGTGGAAAAATAATCATTTTTATGGCATTTATTTGACCCAACCACAAGGAGTTTTTTCCCCCCAGCCCTCCAGCACATCCACAGTTTTAGTCAGTAGTTTGTCATGGTTATTGTGACAAACCAAACCTCGTAGCGGGCTCCTGGAGGAGCCTGCTGGCCAGCCTCCTGCCCCAGGATTATTGGCCATGCAAAATACACTGAAAAAAGGCTTTTCACAAATTGGCTTATATTGTTCGGGAACCAAACAGCCGCACGAACCAGAGACCACCCGGGTGCTTGTTAAGCCCAATTGATCATTTGTACCAATTTCCACCGTGTTCTAAGTGTCCGTCTTGGTGACCACATTTCGTATGAACGACCATGAGGTGTCGGCCATCTTGTTCCCACGAATGCAGGCAGCGGTGTTTGGGCATAAATCTCATGGAAATAAAATCAGACACAGAAACTCCTGAACACTTCCATCATCGCCTTTGTTCAGTTCTACCTCACGTAGAAAGGCACTGTTTGGTGGAAATGTTCCCACGAAGAAGGGAAACAGGCTACACAAGTAACTTAAGGATTCCATTGTGTTTTTATGTACTGATTTTCTGGCACATGTCTTTACGGGAGTATTGGTCATGGACCTTCAAATAAAAGGAGTAGTCTATAGCGGCTGGGTACAGTGAATGCAAATGTGTCATGTAAGCCATGGGAATGCAATAGAGCCAACAGTTTAGCACTGATGGATTTTAAACGGGCGTGGGAGCCCGGGTTCCCAGATCTGTTGAGTTCTGTCGAGTTCAGGGTCTAAAACACAATTAAAATTACCACAAACAATCATTTTGCCCTGCTTCATGTTGTCAAGTTTGTTCAATAATTTCTTAATAAAGTCATACTGATTGGTGTTGGGGACATACAGGGACATACAGGTTGGCTATGCTCACCGTGGTATCATTAAGCAATCCCACCAATATGAAGAGTCTGCCATCAACACTTTTGTACTCTGTCTCACAGTGAAAAGTCCAGTGCGAGTGGAACAGGACACTAACTCCTCTACTTTTGTTGGGTGCTAGTGCTTGATGTGTTAATGGCTAGCTGGAGGAGGAGAACTTTGTGGGGTTTAAGTAGGAGAAATGGGTCTCCTGAATGCAGGCAATAAAAGCTGTCAAAAAGCAAGCCTGCACTTCTGCTGGGTATTAAGGCATCAGTGAAGGCCGGGATGACCCTGTGGCATTCCCAGGCATCATCACCCTTCCCAACTCCCCTTCGGCATCAATTTTGGGGGACAAGTCCCCGGTGTTCCCTGTTACACCAACATCATAGGTTAGGGTGATTGACATAACAAAAAAATATAACAGTAAAAGTGGGTAACGAAACAAAAGTATATACATTTCAAAAAGCATAGGAGCATTATGTAGAGATCGGCCATCGTATGTATGCCCTCCATACCGGTGGCAATTGACTCAGTGGGGGGAGGGGAGGGGAGGGTCAGAGGGGTGGCCTGTATGGATGGAGCAGAATACAATCACATAATGAGGTTGCCAGCAGGGGTTGTAGAATTATGCGACCCACCTCTTTCAGTAGGATAGTGGGTCCGCTGCCAATTGGTTAGGGATACCGCTAAGGAAGTGAGGGAAGTCATACGGCTGTGTGTCTCAGGGTTATCCCCAGAGGTACAGCCTTAGGATAAGTGCATGCTACTATTAGCATATTGGGCATACTATGGTGTGATGGGACACCCAAGTTATCCCGGTTAGGAGGAATGTAGGATATCTGTGGTGGGGTAAAAGAGCCTAGAAAGTGGTTGGCTTAAAGAGAGGTGTTACCTCAAGTATAGTAGATCTTTTTTTTTTTTTGTACATCCTGTGCCAGATTTTTAGGCTTGGGTACCCAGTGTGCTCTGTCCAGGCGCAGGTCTACATTTTCCAGATTCGGCTGTATTGTGTGGAAGAGCTGTTTAAGGTATTCTGGAGGCTCTTCATTTGTGACGGACTCTGAGACTCTGCGCGTGCGGTTGTTATTGCGGTACGAGTGGTCCTCCAGATCCGCCAGATTTTCTGTAAGGCATTTGTGGTCATGCTCCATCTTTTTCTTCACGATTTCGTTGTTAGCGAGGCAGTGCTCATCCATCCTCTCAATGTTCACGGACATGCTCCGATCTCCTGCACTTCCTTATGGATGTCACACACAGCTGACTTGAAGTAGGCTTTTATAGAGGAGCGTAGCTGCCAACCATCTTTCTAACAGGGAGATGTCCCCTGGGATAACTGCACTGTTTCTGTGGCGGAGCCTGCTTCTGGGCTTTTGGGGGCACCATGAAGGTGCTGTAAAGTCAGCTGCGCTGCAGCAATCATGTGGGGTAAATACATTTCCATAAGCCACTTTTTTTGGCTGCTATTAGGCCTTATCAGGCTTGGAGCTACTGTACTATGCGACTGCTTCATAGGACTGAAAGTCCTGCCTCACAGATAATTATTTTTTTTTTATTATTTTTTTTTAAATATTTTGCTAAATCTGAAAACAGCAAAAATTGATATATTACATGCAGTGAATAAATGAGTTTACATGGATTAAAACATAAGATAGTAAATCTAATCACTCTTGCATGTTCATACTACGTAAACTCTGTAAGTGATTTTTTTTTCAAATTTGTTTATAACATTTTTCAAAAAAGGGAAAAACAATTTCAAGAGCATTCACTAAATATTTTAATACAATAATTTAATAACTACATCACACTTGTGGAAACATAATAGACTGAAAAGTTAATCACAATGAAGGTATTGAAATCAGAAACTCTAAATCTCATGTGCACAGAGTAAACCCTCCACAGGTAGAAAGGATAGAACTCACCACTTTTACATTATATGCTTAGAGCACTTAGAGCTACATTGTAATCAATGGCTTTTAATCTTTTGAATTATCATCCACTAGGAATACAATTCAGATGTCATTATGCAGATTAAATGGGGCACTTCACAAAAAACAACAACTCTCATACAGAGCACATCTGATTGGACAGATTTAAAAAATTACCTTTATACTTCACATGCTCAGTTGCCCTCAATGGCTTATGCAGAAAACCATAATTAATTTTCATTAAGTCAGTCTGTGTTGTAGTAAATGGGGAGGGAAGTATTAGAACACTGCAGTGCTCAATGTTGTATGCTTAAAGGAAACTATAGTGCTCAGAATATAAAGTTGTATTGCTAGCACTATAGTAACCCCCATTCATCCCCCCTCACAGCACTGAACGGATTAAAAACCCTTTTGTCACTTACCTACTTACAACTGTTAGTAGGCACTGGCTCAGACTCTGCCTTTGCTTCTCTTCCGCCAACGTCAGCAACGGGGGGCATACAGCAAGTGTGGCGGGTGCCACAATTGCATTAGGATTACTCCTAATCAATTGAATCTATGCTTTCCTATGGGGTTTTAGCTGGCGCTGGATGTCCTCATGCTATGCATGAGGATGTCCATCATTAGTTAGGTGACCAGAAGTTGCATAACTGCCTTGAAGTGCCTCTAGATGCTGTCTGATAGACAACCACTAAAGGTGGAATTAACCCTGCAAGGTAATTATTGCAGTTTATCAAGAAATGCAATAAGTACAATTGCAGGGTTAAACTGACCCGGGCACTGCACCTAGACCACTTTAATGAGCTGAAGTGGTCTGAATGCTTATAGTGTCCATTTAACATTTATAATGGAAATTTGCAAGTTAACCTTTTCCCAAAGGGATACGATGCCAGTAAGTCACTATTTTACCAATAGCAATATATTTTACTTTTTTATTATGACAAACCTATCTAGTAGTTTGCTGCTGTATATGCTCCTATGGATGAGCCTCTACTGCTTCAAATTAAATTTGGACTATGAGATAAATTAAAGTATTCAAAATCAAGTCAAGTCATTAAAAGTCACTATGCAGTGCATTAAGCAGAAAAAAATAATGTACCACAGACATCAGGAATACCAAGACACTTGCTTAATCACTATGAACAAGGATAATAAGGAATGCATTACAAGTCAAAAAACATACTATTACATTATTTCAGTACTGACAGCAGATTATAAAGATCTTACACAGCTGCTCAGAAATTGCTCTTCCAGATGACAAGTGAATACCAAAGCATATTTTCAAATGATCCTTCTGTTACAAGTCACTAAATTTTCTTTCATTTGAAAGCGTTGATTTCACTTTTGATTCCAAATATAAATTCATACAAACATAATATTGAGCAAAGTTATGGGATAACTGTGCCATAACTAATAATGTTGCTAATAGAGATAAGGTTGAGGCATTCCAATAGCTTCAGGCACATTTATTAGTACAAAGGGAACACTGCAACGTTTTGACCCAAGATGGGGTCTTTGTGATCATTATAAGTCACTAATAATGTTGATTTATTTTCATTTTCAAATATTCAAGTAAGAGTGCATATGGAAAATAGTGACCATAATATGGTATAATTTGAGATTAACAAAAAAATATATATATCGGCTGTACAAAAAGATGTCACTTTAAACGGGCTAAATTTAATAGGATAAGGGCATCTTTACAACTAATTGACTAACAGGAAATATTCTCTGGCCAAAGCCCAGAGGATAAATGGATGGTTATAAAATACATTCCTACAAAAGTACATTTCTATAACATTCCAACAGGAAACAAATATAATAGAAACAAATTAAAACCAATGTGGCTTAGTACAGGGGTCATTTAAATGATAAAAGATACAAGGCATTCAAAACATTTAAATCAGAGGGGTTAATTTCATCATATAACAAATAGAATCATGCCAATAGAGCTTGAAAAAGAGAAATTAGATGGGCTAATTTTGAAAATGATAATCGCATAGCCAAAGAGAGCAAGAGCCACCCCAAAGGTTTGTTTTAAGTATGGTAATGCCAAAAAGGTTAAGAGTGAAGGTGATGGTCTATTGGGAAGTGAGATGGATGAGTTAATCACGGATATCAGAATAGTTGATACAGTCCTAACCTCAACATCTGAAGAAAGAGATTTAGGGGTAAATATTTCAGAAGACTTAGGTAGACAGACAATATAATAGAGCAGCAGCAAATGCTAGCAAGATGCTTGGTTGTATAGGGAGAGGTATTAGCAGTAGAAAGAGGGACATGTTCATGCAGCTGTACAATGGACTGGTGAGACCTCACTTGGAGTATTGTACGCAGTACTGGAGACCGCATCTCTAAAATGATATTGATACTTTTGAGAGAGTTTAGAGAAGAACTACTAAGATGGTTAATATATTGCAGGGTAAAACTTACCAGGAAAGTTTGTAGCTTTGAGGACAAATGAGACAGAAGGATATGAGAGAAACATTTAAATACATAAAAGGAATAAACACAGTAAAGGAGGAGAGTATATGTAAAATAAATTAAAAACTACGACAACAAGAGGACATAGTTTTAAATTAGAGGGGCAAAGGTTTAAAATAATATCATGATGCATGGAATAGCCTTTCAGCTGAAGTGGCAGACCTTAACATATTGAGGGAGTTTAAGTAACTCCCAGAAATCAAAAGCAACCAGGCACTGCAGAAACACCTAAGCAGAGACTGGGCCCCCAAAACAGCATTGATTAGTAACTCCCAGAATTCAAAAGCAACCAGACATTGCATAAACACCTAAGCAGAGAATGGGCCCGAAATAACAGCATGGATTAGTAACTCTCAGAACTCAAAAGCAACCAGGCACTGCAGAAACACCTAAGCAGAGACTGGGCCCCCAAAACAGCATTGATTAGTAACTCCCAGAATTCAAAAGCAACCAGGCATTGCATAAACACCTAAGCAGAGAATGGGCCCCAAATAACAGCATTGATTAGTAACTCTCAGAACTCAAAAGCAACCAGGCACTGCAGAAACACCTAAGCAGAGACTGGGCCCCCAAAACAGCATTGATTAGTAACTCCCAGAATTCAAAAGCAACCAGGCATTGCATAAACACCTAAGCAGAGAATGGGCCCCAAATAACAGCATTGATTAGTAACTCTCAGAACTCAAAAGCAACCAGGAACTGCAGAAACGCCTAAGCAGAGGTTTCATCTCTGGAAGATCCATTCATGAATACCTGTACTACTTATTGTTTCCCTTTATTTCTTAATTTAAAATTGTGTTCCATTCCACCTCCCTCCCTATTGTCTCACTACTTAATTGATAACCATTCCATCTCCCATCCCGATCTTCTGTTTTGTTATAGTCTTGTTATTTTCTGTTCATTCTTTGACTTTTTTGTTAATTGTTTGTTTTGCTAGTGTTACTTCTTAAACTGATAGTCTTGTAAATTTAGGTTCATTGTTATGACTTTCACCTATCTGATCCTTCATATCTTCGTACCCCTAAAGTTTTCTCCTCTGGTTTTTCATCTCTAATTACATCAACATCTTCATGTCTCCACACCCATAATGGTGTTTTTTTTTTTCTTTCTAACCCCTGACTTTATATTTTCGACTGGGCCCCAAATAACAGCATTGCAAACCTCAAAAGCAACCAGGCACTGCAGAAATGCCTAAGCATATGTATCATCTCTGGAAGGCTGCCCACCCTCCTCTCCCTATACCACCCCATGGTCATTACCATACTTATAAATAGTGCAGATCAGCTAGTTTTCAAAACACACTCATCAAGTCAAAAAACCTCTCCTCACCTGAAATCCCTCTGTTAACAAACTACACCCTTAACCCCTTCAGACCGGAGGGCGTACTATTATGCCCTATTTTAAAGGACCACTCTAGGCACCCAGACCACTTCAGCTTAATGAAGTGGTCTGGGTGCCTGGTCCTTCTAGGGTTAACCCATTCTTTTATAAACATAGCAGTTTCAGAGAAACTGCTATGTTTATGAATGGGTTAAGCCTTCCCCCAAATCCTCTAGTGGCTGTCTCATTGACAGCCGCTAGAGGCGCTTGCGTTCTTCTCACTGTGATTTTTACAGTGAGAGCACGCCAGCGTCCATAGGAAAGCATTGTGTGGGCGGAGAGGAGGAGGATCGGAGGAGGAGAGCTCCCCGCCCAGCGCTGGAAAAAGGTAAGTTTTTACCCCTTTCCCCCTTCCAGAGCCGGGTGGGAGGGGGACCCTGAGGGTGGGGGAACCCTCAGGGCACTATAGTGCCAGGAAAACGAGTATG